AACGCGTGCTGGTTGAGGCTGTTCAATGTAAGCCAGTCAATCGTTGAACGGTTGTTCAAGAGACAGTCAAAGTGCTTTTGCCAGATCTGCATTATGTCTGCAGTCTATGTGAACGAAGCACTGAGCTAACATCAATCAACATTCTCAGCGGCCCCAAGCTCAGTGCACACCCCGCCTTCAAGGAATCAAAGAATTTCTTGTGTTGGCGGCGTTTGGCGCAGCATTCCATCTGCTTCACCTTCTCCTTCCACCATGCATTTCTAATGCAGCGGAACTCTCGGGTCAGGTGCTGTCGAAGTTTCTGAAAATGACTATTCTTCTCCAAGTCACTAGAGTCTATCACATGTGCAGCAAATGCTGCATTCTTCTCTGATTCCAATGCGCCAATCGTCACATTGTTCGCATCAAACCAATCGGGCCGCTTACAGTTTCCGCGCCTGATGGTCGCCACGACAGCAGCTGGCACCTGGTCGCGAATGTGGTGCCACAGTTAGCCCACTATGGCTATGCATTCCACATCACACGGGCGTGCAGCCATCGCCTTCTCCAATTCAATACATTTCGCCACAGTACTCAGGGGGGAGTGTTAAATTTACGCCGATTCACGGCAAAAGTGCGATACAGTGATGTATGAAAATGTATGCACAGTTTGGTCCGCACTAATTTGTGATCAGTGCCACAGCTTCACTCAGTACACGTATGTTGCCACATACTGAGGCTGATGTTGCATTCATGATGCTTCTTCACCACAGTTGCGCTAGACCAACTTACACTTAAACTAGGTCTTTTTAATGTGGATAAGACTCGTTACATTTTATTTGGTTTTTTCTGCCTACTTGATCATCTTCTCCCAACTTGCACGTCGCTCGTGCAAACTGTGGTGAAATTGCGTAATTGTATCGCATATCTTTTAAACAACTCGGACATTTTGCACTTATCACGGATTCACTTATAACCAATTTCTTCTATATGCGCATTTAGGGAGTATTTATGTCGTCATATGCGTTTACTTAATTCGATTACGACATTTTGAGTGATTGGCTGTTGTTTGACATCCAAGGTGCGGCTGCGCTTGATGTGCATGTTGACAAAGTGCCTACCTGTCTATTACCCAATACCTCGTCCATACTGGCTCCAAGAGACAGTTGGTCGTTGCTGGAGGGGACGGGGTGCACGGTCTTTGTGGCCTTGTTAGGATCAAAGAGTGGTTCCATGCAGTCAGTGTGGAGCGGACTACGGTCCAGCCACCGCCTTGTGTGCGCTTGATTCCCCAACTACAGCGTGCTTGTGTTTGCCTGTGAAGGAGTGTGGGCCGGCTCCGTTGATAAGACGTGGATCCAAACCACATGCCTCCCGGTCTTATTCCTTCGGGTTTACACTGGATATGGGGTGCGTGGTTGGAACTGTGGGTGGTTCAGTGCAAACCACCCATGGTTCCCCTGTAGGCGCAGGTGTCCTGTGGCTGGCCACAGTGACAGGCAAATCCGAAACCGGATGCCGCCAACCAGATAAATATATTCTCATCTTTTACTCAACTTCGCCGCTTGCACATATGCTGACTACACTGACCTTGGGAACACTGCTGTCAAAAAGCAGACACCGCTGATGACTTAAACAAGCTTTAATGTCCCTCATGAGTTGAGCGTCATTTAAGTTCCTCGTATAAAACGGTTCCAAAGGTTGGTGTAACATAGGCTTGCAATGGTACCAATAAAACGTCTCCATTATGATGTGTGAGTCAACATCTCATACTAAGTTCATCAAGTGTTAGGTATCTGTGTCATTTATTCCGAAATTTGGCTTTGTTAATGTAGATTACGATGTGTATCCTAAAGTAATAGGTTCGGCTCTGTATGCGCACACTGACGGTACGTAGCCACACGGACCACAAGTCTGGCTTGTTATTCGAGGGCGCGGGTTCGAGCTTGCGTAAGGACCGCGCGACACTTGCAGTATCCAAGTGCGACAGGTGGTGGTTGCGCGTCAGCGAAGCGTTGGTACTGCGTATCAGCGTACTGCTGATGACCTTATGCCTACGCTCAAAATGCATCAGCAAACAATGAGCTAATTATCAAATTCATGACTGTATACATTCCTGTTTATTGGAGCTATTCTCATCATCATACACGTTAGTTGGAGGTGGGGAACACCTGTGCCGCAATACAAAGAAAAAAGGAGAGAAAAGAAACAACTGGTGAAAGCTGGCTGAGCTACCGGTAATGGATGGGCATCGTTCCGGTAAGCTACCAGCCGGCTACTGTGCATCAAAAAATAACTATGCAAAATTATATAAAATCAAGTAATGAGATCGTGATTGGAGGGGGAGGCTACGAGGGATGGGGTGGGAGAAAGAAACTCACAGCACGAACGCCACTGAGGTCGGCTCCTAGCCATATCAGCAAGTGCGTCCAACCAAAGGTGTTCATCGTCTTTCAGACCCCAACCAGGGATCCGAGACGTTCCAACCGAGGCCAGCTCAGAAGTGAGCGCCTTCATTCCTCTGGACCAAGTCATCGCTTGGCCACCCCTCCTCTTCTTCCATCCACACCCCCGGCGCGCAAACAACACACGTCGCGCAAACCGGTGGGCTGGCATGCGTAACACGTGGCCGAGCCATCGGAGCCTGGTGCGTGAAATGACGGTGCTGAGCGGTTCAGTTCCTTCTCCTGTGCCATAAACAAGGCGTCGAACACGCTCGTTGCTCACGCGGTGTTCCCACCAGATGTGAGCTAAATTACGAAGGCACCGGTGGTCGAACGTAACTAGTCTCTTGAGGTCCGCTGCTTTAAGCGGCCAGGTTTCACAACCGTACAGTAGGGTCGAACGTACCGTGTTATTGTACACTCTACCCTTCAGGGCAAGAGTGATGTTGCGCCGGCGCCATAAGTGGCGAAGGTTAGCAAAAGCGCCCCGAGCTTTTGTTATACGGTTCGTGATCTCATCTTCAATCCCACGGGCGCTGATACAACTTCCCAGGTAGTTGAATTTTTGAACGACTTCTAGCTGATCCCTACCAACGGTCAGCGTAGGGGGCGGTCCAGACCAATCTGTTCTAAGAGACTTCATCTCTCTTGTACTGTTTATGAAGGTTATTTCCCAACGAGTCGGATTGCATAGGGAGCACTGATTTATATTCTTGTCGGTAAGCGTTTCATGGCTGAGTCATCCTTTCATTTAGTGCATGATGCTGTCAGAAGCTATTGAAGCTTCCTCTATCCACTCCAGATTTGCAGGTCCGTTCTGTCATAATGTATACTACAATTACATTTTATCGTTGTGATGCGGGATCGTTTGATCGAGGGATTTAGGTACATACCTTTAAATGTACAATCTATGCATTACTGACTATGATACTGTAGAGCATATACATAAGTTGGTGTGAAATGTTGGAAGTTCTCTCATTCGGGAGTAGTCTATTATGATTTGAGTTGTAAGCAACGATCGTCAAGGCTGTGAAGACAAAGTGGCGTCATCAAACAGAAAAGAACAACTCTCACTATAGTAGGAGAGCGTACCGCAATGGCATTGCTCATACGCGGTCATTGAGACCCGGAGAAACCTACTTCCGACACAAAACGTAGCGCCGTTAGGTAAAGTTCAGGCCACACATGTCAATCACTGCAACTGAGGCTATCAAGGTAGGTGAATTTAACAAATATCTGAAGGTCTTCGTCGTGTCTAGTAACCTACAACAGCATTTCGCTAGCGCCAAATGCATGACAACGGATGGGATCGGTCCGTAAAGTTCGTCAGAGGCAACTGCATCACATTGCGATAGTTAGAAAAGGAGACAGTTTGGTCTGTACACTTAAAATCAGCATTGTGAGACTTCGCGAAAAGATCTCTTGTGATATAGTCCAGGATAGTATTGGGTAGAAATCGAAAGAAACTCATTAGCTGTCGTAAATGCATCAGTTCGTTCCAGTAGACTTTAATACAACCGGAACGCTCTTCTAAGTAAGCATTAAACCCACGGAAAAGATCGATTAGATCGAAATAGCCGTAGTCTAGCCGCGGTATGTGTGAAAGTTACCTAAAACCTTACATAGAATAGTACTATTAACTGCGAAGCCAAATTTCTAACAGAACTGAGTGTTCAGTGTCAGCAAATCCCTCCTTTCTGGATTCCAATGACGGTATTCGCCCTTTGTATATGCAAAATCTGGTGCGACCGCAACTGATGGTGTCAAACGAAAAGGCAACCGTTACATGCATGCTCGTGGAGTATCTATTCCCCAGAAGTAAAATGCCCTCACAGCAGGTCATCATCATCCTATGATTGCACAGCAGCCGACCAAAACGCGTTCTCGGTCGCCGATCAAGAGATGTGACCTCTGAGTCTACAGACAAAGCTCAGAGAAAATCTCCACTGGACTAAGACTTCAGAAACAAAAGGAGTGAAATTAAGAATATGATCACGAAATCTGAAGTGTGCAGTGGTGTGAGTGATCACCTATCAGGGAACCCCGGTGGAACATCGGCACCCAGTACGCATGAGAACATTGCGTCATAGGAACAGATGGTGATCAGTGAACAGTTGCAACAAACACTTTCAACTGTCTCTGCGTTTGGAATTAGGGTCGAACACTTCGACTAACTGATCTTCTGAAGGGCAACAAACCTGTACATTCAAAGCGCCAGCAACTGAAACTATGCGTGAGGTTTCAGAACTGTGCAGAAGGGTGCTAAGTTCGTGCAGACGGGAGCATTGTTGGCGCCACTACTGTAGTCGACTGTAAGTTGCGCGGCAGCGGTGAATGAGCAACGCCTAGAGTTCATCTGTGCGTCAGCTCAAGTTGTTGAACGAGCTACACACACTACAATCCACGCAATGGAGGAAGATTTAGGAAATCTTGATTATATGAAAGACGACTCTACATTGCCGCTTCAAAGGCCCCGCAAAGGTTAACGTGCAAAACAGTACAAACGGGTATAATTATATTATAAAAAGGCGCAAAGCAACATTACAGTGAGAAAAATCCGTCCTTGTGATTCGGCAACTAAAACAGAAAGCTAAAGAAAGCAGTGACTGCGCAAAGAAACGCATACCTGTAAGGATAACCATGGTACTTCTTTCTGAACACAGAGAGAACTAGGCTGAAGGCCACCGAAAACAAAACCAATCCAGCGGATATGAGAACTAAAATGGAGAAGTGGGAAAGAGTGTGGTGAGCTAATAAGCAATAAATCGTAAGCCAGATTAATAAGGTACATGATCATAAGTTTCATGGCGTATTTTATTACATGAGACCAAGTAGAGTACGGTGAGGTTAGTTCTTTGTCGAATGCTCAAAAAAGGATACGCCGTTGATGTTGTGACTAGTTGTCAAGTTGTTGATGAGTCCCCATCGCATTTGGAACTAGTGATAATGGTTGTTGCTGAGTTTATGAAGCGATAGACATGGGCTCATAAAAAGCCAATTGACAAATCCAGCTAGGTCTAAGCGTGTTCAGTGAAATTATGCGCATGATTCGTTATGCGGAGCTTCATATGACACAGAAACGCGCGCCATCTCGTACATACGTTTCCCGGATCGAGCTTCGAACTCTCTAGAAGAGGGTCGTCTAGGAAGTGACGCCATGCCCAGTTGCTCCAAGTTCGTGACTGACAAGAGGCGCTTCATCTGAACACCTCGAGGGTGGAGAAGTAGAGATATGACTCACACAATGTACCGTTCATTGTTGGCCAATATAGTCGGTCGAAGTTGAAATAATGTGCACTCCAAGTCTCGTATAACCGCCCGAATTGTCAACGCGTAAAACATGAATAACGCATAAGATCGATACATTAATTCGGCTCCTGGTATAATGTGACTTGGAGAAACGTACGCATCGGCAAACATGTTAATATTTTAACATCTGAAATTGCCCTACGTGGTCCGACTTACAAAGGTTTCTATGATGTTGCGGCGCCATTCATTAGTCCTAGAATAAATGAATGGTTGTGATGTGTCTGAATGACTGACTACACGTGACTTTAAATGAGTGAAATAATACATCCAAAGATGGCATGCTAGATACACCGGGAAACGACATAACCACAAAGATTACTGGCGGAAATAGTAAATTCGGCAGCTGTTTTTCTCGGCGGAACAATTTCGCATTGCAGACTGAGGATCATACGTTGCGTTAGAATCCTCAATACATTTTTCAAGGGAAATCATGTTGTCTTAGTCTGTCAATTTTTTAAAAACATTACGTGATAGTGCCTAAAATCTGCGGTCCGTCGAATATGGTCACAAAATTTCGGAAACGCGATCGCACTGGTTGGCAATCCGGTCTCAGTCATTTCTCTATTGACAAAGCGAAGTTCCACTTATACTTTTCAGTAATGTGCGCTCACTAAAATTATTCACCTCAGAGCCCTTATACAACCAAGAGAATTTGTAAATAAATCCCAGTGATTCCGCGTCCTAGACCTGTCATCTGTGCCTGATGAGACCAAACACGTTCGTAACTAGTCGTGGAGTGCAGTGTTTCTGGGCGGGCAACACCGAATATTCATCCGTTTCATCAATTACGGTCCAAGGTTCACTTCATTGCGAAGCGCGGTCCACATTGAGATTCCGCATCGCCATCCACCCACATAACGAATGCAGGTTTCATTTTGTTACCAGAAGGTTGGTTGCATACAGATGGAATTATTCAACTCGGTGGCTATTCTCCCATTAGGACTAACCGCCCATGAAAACCACCGCTTCGTGTTGGATCCGTTTTCACTTACGTTAACCAACATTGGTGCTATTCAGTAACTGTATTATTCACATACACAACGACTTCTATAAGCTACCATTCAATCGAATGGGAACTAAGGATCTTAAGTGCATTACAACCGGTCACCACGCTTTTTCGACGATATTGCTAAAATTAGATACTTATTTTTGCATTGCTACTGGCAAGTTTAATGAAAAGGATAGATTCATGAAAACTCGGCTTTTTCTACCAGACAAGACGCGCAACAGGACGCTGTATGCACAAACATAATGCGGTTTTTTGCCATCGGAAAACGGGTTCCCTCGAGTAGCTCAGACCACTGCGTTTTAAAAGTGTCTGAATTTCGTCACACCGACTAGACGTCCTTCGAAGAATATCAAATGGGGAAACTGTTCCGCTGAAAGTACCAAGGGCTCCAGTCGATGTTTCTCTAATCGAGTGTATTCAATGCACAGTGCCGTTCAAAATCGCTTTCTTTTCTACATGTATAAACTCTGAAGCTTTATTTTAAGGCAGTTAATATGATATTGTAATATGATTTTACCTTATTCGTCACGATGGTTTGTTGATCCGATGAAAGTCAGAAAGATGCTACCGGAGCGGTGTCGGAGTTACAGTTGTGTATGTTTCATTGTTCTACTTGCCTATGTACTTTTTATTGATATCACCTTCATGCACAGCGGCAGTGTAAATGTTAAAAACGAACCCATTCGGGGTTGACTCTACCGGACAGTAAAACGAGTGATCGTGGGGATAAAGCACGCAGTACTCGTGAGGCAAGGTGGATCCAAGGATCAGCTCGATCCCGAGTAAAGTTACGGCTAGACCTGTGCCAAATGGAGATATGGTGAGCTCTGGATACCGATATGTGGACCGAATTACAAACGGGTGATAAGCGAAACGGAAGAGATTTGAAACAGTCATGGTGCAAACTCGTATTCATCCCAGTGTCCACCTTTATGGTCTACAGTGGACGACCGTGTCTTCGGCGCAAACATTCTACGCACGCTTGCAGACACAGTGATAGGTCGCAGCGGAAACGGGTACTACCAACTGTGTCATAAAATGAGATGCCCCGCCGCAAGATGGACAGAAGTCATGAACAAATCCTAACCGATGTAGGGAACTTAGATCTTTAAATTCATTGGCATGGTGATCAAAGCATCCAACAGTCACCATAGAAGCACTGGTACGAATTTCTCAGTTCAAGGGACCATCGACCGAAGAGAGCAAACCAGGATGATACCAGTTGTGTAGTGCCGTGTTGGGAAGAAGCAGCAGACGAACCTAGCAGTCAAAATAGGCGCAGACCAACTTAGCATTGCATGACGGCCGTTCAGTTGGTCCAAAATGACTATTGCTACATTTGTTTCTAAAGTAGAGCCCACAATTTATAGGCGGTAACCAAGAAAACTAAAGTTCTTCCTCGTTTCGTTTGCCGGATAAGAAGACACCTAATGTTAGACACAATAAAGTCATCGGCAGGACGCAGAGCCAATTGAGGACGTGCAAGTAAAGAAAACGACTGCAAGAAGAGACAATAATAAAACAAGCAACTCACTCTTTTTCCTTCCAGCTTCCACAGTCCCATCGACTTGATGGATGAACAAAATGCCCACTGTAGCTAAGACATCTGCAAAGGAGCGCTAAGGATGGAATAGCCGTGTTGGCCAAAGAAGGAATAGGACACAAGACAGTTACCAATTACGGTTCAACATACAGTACCTAAATTATCTGACGCTTTTTGAGACACGAAACGGGCTGGAACAGGGGGTCGCGGAAGGAAGAGATAGAGGCAGAAAAAGGGTAAGAGGAAGTAAACTAATTACAACTAGTTCCAGCTCACGAAATGAGGAGAAAACAAACGTCTCTGATGATAACACGACAATATGTCATCAGTGTGGCACCACTGGCAATAACTCCATGATGTTCCATAACAAAGCTCGGATGACAGTATATCAAATAAACCGATTAGAGACCCAGATGATGTCCGGGCCCATGGAAGCAAGAGGGCACTAGCGTCGTATCATCTTCAAGCTTGCGATTAGGCCCCTCAACTTACCTATAATTGGGAGCATTATCCCATAAAGGAGCGGCGCTCCAGTTCACAAGAACGACACCTGAAGCAAAGGTGACTTGTCTGAGAGAGATTTTATGCCCAAGCGGCACAGGGTGGACCAAGAACAGTCAACTTGTAATACAAAAATGGACATGAGATCCGAGATTCCGGTGATCTCTTAACCGCTTCTGTGTTGCTCAAATGGAGTCTCTCCTATCCCCATTAATTGAAGTAGTGTGGTTCCCTGCAAAGTGCTGACCAGCCTGACATAAATAAAGAGACCACCCCAGTTAACTAGTGCTAGCCGTGCGTGTAGTAATATGAAAGAATAGTAATTGAAGCATTTGTGCCAACCATAATTGGATGTCTCCGCTTTCGTCTGCCATCATGCAAAGGATAAGCATACTGAAGAAAACAACGAAGTGTAGCTCATATTTTTACACAATGACAGGCTATATAGCATCATCACATGTACCGTGGGCCAAATACAACTGTTTCTTTGACTTAGACGATCGGTCGGTGAAGTGCAACATGCTCGCTGAGAAGGGTGTGAAATATCTAAGTACCTCAGGTTGAAACAGGGTTTACGGTCAATTATCAAATGTCTTTAATATGACAAATGATGTGCATTATGGCCGCTTCGTTGCTGATTCTCATTAAATGTTATCGTGTGATTAAACATATTTCACTTCGGAATTCTTACAGAGTAAGTGTTCACACACTGTTCAGTTAAAACTGACTGAGCTGGATAATACAGACGGCATCGCCTTGATATTTGAAGACCGCGAAGCTGTATAGTCAAAGCTAGTGGTGCTGATCCCTGAGATCAGTTACAGGTACCAAAAAATTCAAAGTACCCTGCATGACCACCGGCCACTTTCATGACTTGATCCTTGGCATCGAAGAACTGAACGTAGTTGACCACTTTCCTTGACCAGTACTAGCAGCTGCTAAAACTATGCGATAACAGCAAAGTGAGAGTGGGGGGTTCTGAGCTGGTCACCTGGTTTCTAATTAAATGCCACAAGAGCCCGCAAAAAACTGTGTCAAAGACAATGTGACCGGGCTATAGCGTCAATGACCACTTACTTTTGGTCACAGAATTGAATAGTTAACGGAGAGCGAATGAACAACCTCCATGGCCACCGGCTTCTATTAAGGCGTATGAGCCACCCGGCTGCCAACGTCCTTCGTGTTTCGCGGTGAGTTCGGTAGTCCAGGGAATCCTGGCCTCGCTGCTGCTTCACTGGGGCTCTCTTTGTGCGCCCTGAGTACTTGGCCTCTATTTGAAAGCCGTTTTATCCTCACCTAGATAGTCGGCTCCCAATGGTCGCGGAATACGTCAATCACCCCGCGGGATTGCGGATTAGGTCTTTAGGACCCAACGCTCCGGATGGGGTCTCCTAAGTCAAACCTCTTCCTCGACCTGGGCAACCGAGAAGCACCATGCCCATACAAACTATGGATCCATGTCTCAACAATTCTTCACTCGCTCTCTCCGCTCTCGTAATATCAGCTCTCATTCTCTCGAACTGCTCCCATCGGCCGAGGTGCTGGCGACTCAACCTGCCAAACCACGTTTTGCCGCACCACTGTTTAATCAATTTATTCCACGTTTGTTCAACCCCCATTCTTGGTCTTCTCCCCTCCGGTTTTCAGTTCACAACACCGTGCTGTCTTGAGCAGAGGTCCTCGCCATACGGATGCGGAGCCTAAGTCCGGCGATGCGCCAAGTTGTGTTGACAAACCATTTCTAGTGCCTCGTTCCCAATTCAAGCCGGAAAAACTTCAACGTTCGGACGCTGATGCAGATTGGATCACATGCAGCCCTTGCTCGCACTCTATAAACTACGGGCATTGATGTCTGCTGTCTCAGCGAGACCCGTTTACTGGACTCTAGCACGACGCCGCGAGTAGTCTCACCGTCTGCGAATTCTACTGGCATTTCCACCTTGCGCCTATCTGGAGACTCAAATGCCAAAGCCGCTGGTTGCGCTGGCGTGGTAATTGTGTTGAGCACACGCACTGAAGCCGCACTACTAGACTGGATCCCTGTTAACAGTCGACTATGTGCGATCCGACTTGAAACCTTAGTGCGAGTGTCCAGGCGCGAAGCCAGCAGACGCTGTCTATTCATTGTCGCAGCGTACCCTCCCATAGATTGCAGCCCAGAGTCAGCTAAGGATGAATTCTATAGTCAACTGGTCGACCTCCGTAAAAAGCGCCGTACGGACATCGTGGTGCTCGCCGGGGACTTGAACGCGCAGGTCGGTAGACTTAATGTTGACGAAAGTAAACTCGGTTGTCAACATGGTCCTGGCACTCGCAAAACTGACAACGGTAATTGACCACTTCAGCTTTGTGCCCATCACGGCCTCTTTCTGTCGAGCACTAGCTTTCGAAGATCCTGGCACCAACGCGCCACCTGAAGCCCCCTATCACCTGGCCAGCCGTGGACACAAATTCGCCACATCGTCATTAGCTATCGCTGGCGGAATAGCATACAGGATTGCAAATCAATCTGGAGTACCTATCTCATTACGGATCACTCGCCGGTGTATGCCAAGGTTGCGCTACGTTTTGGTGGCTTCCAGCAGCGTCGCCAGAAACGGCTTGACGTAGCTAAGTTTTCTGCTCCAAACGTTCCCCGCGCATTTCAGGATGCGTTGGCCTCACGGCTGAAGTCTGCCTCATGCATAGACATTGAAACACACTGGGCATGTATCCTCGGCGCCATGTACAACTCTGCAACCCTAATCTGTGGTTTCACTAGTGGTCCTGTCAATCACTGGATCTCTGCACGATCGCTCCAACGACTCGAAGCCCGTCGAGCAATTCCTGCTAGCGTTAAGTACCATTCACTATGCAAGACTATCAACACTGAGCTCAAACAGCTTCTTTGGGAAGCTCGCGAGGTCTGGTAGACGCAGCGTGGCATTGAGATGGAGCGAGCGGCCATCTCGGGGAATTTCCGTAAACTTATCCTTCTGGTCCGATCTACTGGCGGCAAAAGACCGACTGTAAGCGAAGTTTTATGCGAAAAGATGGCGAGCCAACCCACTGTCAAAAACTCAGACTCGAGCAGAGCATTTGAGCAGCAGTTCAATTGGACAGCAGCACCAATGAGTTCCCATTCTGGAACCCAGAGCGCTCTCTGTGTGTAGACGCTTCACCACCATCCGAGGCTGATGTTGCCCACGAGCTTCGCCTCTTAAAGAGCCACAAAGCCGTTGCCTCCGATGAACTCCCTCCTGCTCTTTTCAAAGATGGCGACCCATCACTTGTTCAGGAGTTAACTTCTCTCCTCCAAGAGACCTAGATCACTGAATTTAGCCCATCTGATTAGAGCCTAGAGGATATCGTGTCTGACTTCATAAAGGGCACCTGAACTGACTGCGCCAACCACAGAGGGATTAGTCTCAAATGCGTTGCTTCCAGGGTGCTCGCAGCTCTGCTTTCAGCGAGGCTTAGCCTGGTAGCAAACAGAGCATACGTGAAGAGCATGCTGGGTTCCGCTCAGATCGGAGTTGCCTCGATCACATCTTTACACCCCGCCAAATACTCGAGCGTCGTCAAAAATTTGGCCAGACAACGATCGTTGGATTCTTAGACATACAAGTTGAAATTGACTCAGTGGACAGAGTTGTCTACTGAGAAGGAGTGCCCGAGAAGTATGTCACCTTACTTCAAGTCATCTACTCTCAAACCACGGGCCGAGTGAGGATGTACGGCTGACTTTCGCCCCCTTTAGTATCACCAGTGGCATGAAACTGTGCTAGCCAAGATTATTTTACCTGTTCAATTTCGCTACGGACGAAATCATGGAGAGTGCACTGAAGAACTGTGAACCCAGCAGCGCGGAGCTGCATCCGCGGGACGGACTTCGTGAATTGTAGTATGCAGACGACATCGCCGTAATCTGCCATTCCTCACAAGTCGTCCAAAATGTGTAGGTTGGAGATGTATGTCTCCCAGTTTGGAACGAAGTACGCACCATCAAAATGCAAGGTCTTCATGCAGGACTGGCTAGATGCTGCTCCTAACCTTACCCTTCTAGGTCATTAGTTGGAACAGATGGACAAGTTCGTTTACCTCGAAAGGTGCCTCAGCGCTTATGTTTTAACGGATGAAGTCACTTTGCGCCTCTCCAAGGCTCGGGTTGCTTTTGGCAATCTCCGCCATCTCTGGCGTCGAGGTGATCTCTGAAAGGCCTAGTTAACAATGCCACAGTGAGAGCGGTTCGGCTCTATGGCTGCTAGACTTGTTCTGCTAGCGCAAAGGATGTTGAGAGGCTCATTTTTGATCCCCGCTGCCTTCGAAGCATTGCTGGTGTACGATAGCAACATCACACTAGGAATGGAGATGTTCGACGAAGGATGTTCAGATCGGACAGACTTTGTCGGCCCCTGAGCAGCATAATTTCGCTGCGCAGACTTCAGTGGCTTAGGCATGTTCTTCGCATGCCTACTCATCGTGCCCCTCGCCGTGCTCCCTTCGCGCACGCAGAAGTTGGCTGGAAGTAAAATCAAGGTGGCCAACGTGTGACGGGCTAGGGGCATGAAGGAGCTAACGTCAATGTCAGTCAAGCTCGGGCGCGTTCTGCTCCCTGGCTAGAGTGTGAAAGACCCGGAATAGGCATGGCTGAAAACGCTCTCGGATAGGACAAGAAATCGTGCACAATGGCGGACCTGTATGGACTTGCAATTCCCATGAACGTCGTTTTTTCCACTAGCTTAGGATGTTTATTGTATTTCCCCTAAGCTGTGGCACTATGTCAATTGAATTATTGGCCGTGTTATATATATATATATAATGCTTGTAAAGCTATGATCATGCCTTCAGAGGTGTGCCTCGGACGTTTCGAGAAAAGTGCATTTAGTACTCATGAGTAGAAAGGTATTGGCGAGTATATTGTGTTCGTCGTAATCAGCCGACAATTCAGATAAGTCAACCAGCTCTCCGGAAGAGCACCAGAAGGTCGTTTCGCCCTGTTGGGACTCGGCAGTGATGTGCATGTTTCAGCCCGCTACGGAGGATCGAAGTCATGACTGCTAGTGGCCTGTGTCAACTTGCCCGCAGCTTATGCCATTGAGCCATGGGGGACGGTAGCCGACCATCACAAATTGTTACCTAACGGCGATATAGTTTGACCCATCCTCAATGCCATGCAGATGACAGCGGTTGGACTTCCGACGTAAGGCCTCCCCGGTTACGGCAGCTATGAATCGACATAGAATTTACGAAATCAGTAAGGGCGAATTTGTAGTACTGATGAGTAGAAGAGTTTTGGCAAGTGTTTGGTGTTCGTCGTAATCAGCCGGCAATTCAGATAAGTCAACTCTCTTCGGAAAAACACCAGATGGCCGTTTCGCCCTATTGGGGCTAGTCAGTGATGTGCATCCTTCTGTCCTATACGGAGGAGCAAACCCATGACCGCTAGTGGCTTGTGCCAACTAGCCCGCAGCTGATGTCACTGAGCCATGGGGGACGTAGCTGCGAAGTTCTGACGCCGGAAGGCCAACCGTTGTCATCTGCGTGGCATGGAGGATGGGTCGAACTATATCGCAGTTAGCCAAGAATTCGTGATGGTCGGCTACCGTCCCCCGTGGCTTAGTGGCATAAGCTGCGGGCTAGTTGGCACAAGCCACTAGCAGGCATGGGTCCGATCCCCCATAGAGGACGGAAGGATGCGCACCCACTGACGAGCTCCAACAGGGCGAAACGGCCGGCTGATGTTTTCCGGAGAAGTAAATGACAGCTGAATTGTCGGCTGATTGTGACAAACACCGTATTTATTATTTCTCATTTTGTGGCCATTACCGGTGCATGGAGGTGAAAGGTCAAGGTGTAGTAATGCGCTGCTAGGTTGCCCTCTGAAAGATCCCTTCGTCAGAGCAAGTAGCAAGGACAGAATAATGACCACTTAAAAGTTGCATGCCCGATGCCACGTTTACACAAAGATAGAAAAATTTGGATAAGAATGAGCGGCGTTGATAAATATACCGAGTCTATAGGAGACGTACTCAACAAACAAAAGACGCTCTAAGCCGGACGTGGATAATTCCGCGGACTCCGCTACGTGAAACATAACATTCTCGGACACCAGCACTGTGAAGTAAACGATAGGAAGGAGTCAGAAGCAAATGATCTAAGTTATTCTGGTCGATTTAACTGAATGAGATTTTTGTTTATGTAGCATATGGTTATGATGGCGTTAAGGCCAATGTAGCATCCTACATCAAGCTCCAGAAAAGAACAGAATGCGAACTAACAATATTGAACGAAGACCCACGCTCGAGAGTTTAAGCAGATCGAAGCTGTTCGCTCGCGACGAGCTGCAATTGTATTGAGAAAACAGAAACCAGTCAACACTTGTCGCTGATATCGCCAGTAGACGATCACTTACCGATGACTCTAACTGTGGAGGAATGCTGGCACGGAAGGTCAGTTATTTTTCTGGAATAAACTAATTCTATTGATTAATTATGGAATAGTCGAAGGATACCTAGATTGCGACATGCAATTAAAATGTAAGCCAGTTTACTTTCAAGGAAACTGATTTATGGATCGTGACCGTTGATCGGTTTATTTCAGTACTTTATGTATTATCAGCTGACCATCTCTTGTTTTCTATGTATACGCTTGTCGGCACGCACGAAGATTAATAAACTGAGTTGACCAAATTAAGAAAAACGTGGCCAGACTGTCAAGGGGTACATCAAAGTTATCAGATTTCGCATCGGAAACTACACCAGCACCGGAGTGGTGATCCTACCGAATGTGAACGAAGCCAAACCCAATTTAGTGATGAGAAATTATGGGTCTTCCGGCGTACTTCACCGCTGAATACATATCATGGAGTTATTGATGTTAATTTCGATCGTGGAAAGTCACATGCACTGTCTTAAGGTAAACAATGGCTCAGTGGATAACCTACATATGGTAAATCATGAGGTATATCCATGCAAGTTAATCGAACAACCAGTTCAAACAATTGGGCTAGCACTCAGCACTACCATGAGTAAATGCACCATGGTCAAGGTAAGGGTAACCTAGTCACCTGCGCCGATCAGTTGTGAACAAACACACAGCGAAAGTCTGTACCAACACACGTATCAGAGTTTGTAAAGAGAAAATACACTCCAGTGCGTGTTCGTGTTCAGACAAGTAAAACGTCCTCTGTGCAGCGTGACCCATCACCGCCATGACTGGAGTCTTAAAGGTGACTGTTCACTGTGCGAAGATTGAGTGGAAAAGAGAAGCAGTCCAAAAGCCAAATCGACCAAGTGATAAAAAGGTGATCTGGTTTAGACGCGCGCTGTCTAGCTCAATGAAGTGAACGTTAGCAGGACGCTACAATTGGGATGGAACAATCTCCAACAACAAACTATCAAGCGACGTGCCAAACGCTGCTCGTGGAGCTCAATTCCTTAGTGACTAGGGAGTCGACGGTGAAACACTTTGTGTCTGGTTCTAGTCCCAGCTCAGGTTATCACCACGCAAGGAACCGAAGCACAGACGGAGCCTTCGGTTGTGGAGTGCAGAGACGAGTGAGATGGCAACAATGAAACACTCCGCAGTGAACGGAGTGGCATGAGCTTACGTCAGACTGAATCGTGGTCCCAATCGAGATTACGTGTCGCAATCCACACATAAGGCTGGTACTCAAAAACACCCAACAATGAATCGCTACTGTTTTTTATGGTTTGATTTCCTCTTCCACTGAACAGCGGTGTCATCAGGGAGGTATGATAGAGAACCAGAAACAACGTTACTCTTCAAGCCAAGGCAGACGGGTACAGAGGCTCATGAATCGCCAATCATCACATACACTAGATCAATCCTGATGAAACGACCGAATGGGCAATGTTGAACGAAATCGGCCGATGCCAGTCTGTGCCACTATGAATCGCCTACTAGAGTTGAACAGTCTTGGTATG